AAATATTCATTTTTAATACTTTAATTTGAAGATGAAATAAGCCGTTGAGTTTAAAAGGAAGATTTGAAGTTACCTAAACATTGCCTAATGGCTTCAATTGTCCTTTCGTTATCAGTGAGCACTGTGAGAACACAAATCAATTGCTTCAAAGAAACTCATTTATATTTATTCTTATTTGATGATCAGCATAATATCTTCTCACTACAAAAAATAAGAATATATTAGCTGCAAGATTTGTATAGGTCCAAATTTGGCAACCAAGATAACGGATAAGCAAGACATAGGATGGGGTTGACCACGACACAGCAACCGATGGTCGTCGTGATAAAGGCCGACGACCAAAAGCGGGCAGCTGAGATAAAATAATAACGATAACTTGGACTTAGGGAGAGACATGAAGAATATTCCTTTGGATATTCTCTGTGTTGTACTTTTTAGGATTTTTTTAGGTAATGTCCCTTATAAATAGGAGGAGATAATGAACAATGGCGGGATCTGCCCTTTTGAGAACTGAGACATATTGTAAAGTTGAGAGAAGAATATACTAAAGAGTTGTCTTATTCATTTTATTCAAGCACGTGTTCTTCAACCTTCTTCCATAAATTTCAAGATTCCACATTCATATCGATTGCTTATCTTTTCACGTCGTCAGAGAAAGGAAATACCCAATCACACAATCATTGGGTGATAATCCCTTTTACACTACAATCTTTATCATTTCTTGCATTTATTATACATTTATGACATTACATGTTTTGTCATTCATAGCATATCAAGTTTACTATTTAACGCTCCTACCCGTTGCATGAGAATCTTGCTTCATTTGATCAAGGATTTATTAAGTCCAACTGAGATTCACCCTATTAATTTACTAGTAATCGGTTTAGCAATAATTTGCTCAAATAATTTGGCGTCGTCTGTGGGGAGATTTTAGTTGAAACTATAGTTCTTTCTAGATAAAAAACACATTTCTTCCACGTTTTGCACAAACTAACGATGGCAGGAAAAGGAGATGCGAGACTAAAAGCGATAGCAACCGTCCCTACCTACATTCTGAACACCATCAACGAAGATGGCAGGGGAGACAACGAGAATGCATCACCAAGCGGTACTCCCAGGCGAAGTATTTCACCTCCCCCTCACGAAAGCGTGACGGTTTCACGTGAAAAGGGACCTCCACATCCACAGCTGAAGAAGCACCACCAGAAGTGAAGAAACTACTAGAAGAGTGGCTGACAAGCACTCTAAATAATATACTCGACAGACCCGCCCAAAGGGAAATGGCAACACCGTGCAAGCAGATATCATAAAAACTAACGGCGAGCATCCCCTTCCTCAAAATAGGTAACACTTACCCCACTGTGGATGCAAGTAACGATGCGCTCGCAGCCGTTATAAAGAAAATGGAAAATTGGAAAATGAAAACAGGGTGCTCCACGACCAGATGAAGAAGCACCAAGAAAGGGTTGACAAGATACCAGGTGCCCCAAAGTTAGTACCAAAACGAGACGTTGGTCGATTCATCGAGCAACCGTACAATGAAGCGGCTCCATACGCCATTCCCAAAACCTTCAAAATGCCACCGTACCTGAAGATATACGCTGGTACTACAGATCCAGAAGATCATATCGTCCACTACGCTATAGCGGTGAAGGGCAACGATCTCTCGAAGGAGAAAGTACCATCGGTACTACTAAAAAGGTTCGGATAAACCCTAATAGGAGGAGCCCTAAACAGGTATTCACAACCATCGGCGTGGTCAATAGCAACGTTCAAGGAAATGGCCGACAAGTTTGTCACCACCCATACAGGGGCTAAGAAGGCGGAAGCCAGGGTGAACGACATATTCGCCGTTAGGCAATTGCCCGGCAAAGGACTCAATGACTTCCTCGCCCGATTTAATAGGGTGAGAATGAGCTTACCGAATATATCAGAAGAGATGGCGGTAGCGACCTGCCAAAATAGGTTGAGCAGGAACAGGTCGAGAGCAACCAGAAAACTATTAAGCAGGCTCATGAAATATCCTCCCAACACCTGGTAAGAAATCCACAATGCCTATTGCGCCAAGGTGAGAGCCGATGAGGACGACCTTAACGGTCCAATCCAACGGCTGACGTCAGTTCAAGCAGAATCGAGAAGGGATCGTTATAACGACGGTCGAAGGGATCAGTCAGGCCCCCGTCTCAGCCGAGAAAGACACCAACCCTACAGCAGAATAGCCATCCTACCACCTCCTCGACATATGGAAGGGCCGCCCAGGCCGCATACAACGACTCAGCGAAATGAAAGAGGTAAGCCTCCACTCTTATCCGCTCACAATTTTTATGTTTCTCCTTAAGAAATAGTGTACGCACTAGAGAAGCTCGACACGAAGGTAAAATGGCTACAAAAGATGATGTCTGACCCAAATACTCGGAAGTCGAATGCCCTCTGTGAATTTCACCAGGAACGAAGTCACAAAATCGAGGATTGCATAGGTCTGCGACAAGAGGTAGTGAGAATGTTAAACCAAGGGCACTTGAAAGAATTGATGAGCGACCGCGGACGGGCCATCTTTTCCTGCGGACATGAGCTACACCAGGGACCTCCAAAGCCGCCCTCTCCAGCTCGCACTATCCAAATGATCATCGGTCGAGGCGACGAAGCAACGATCAACCATGTGAAGTTCACCACTACACACAAATTGAAACGATCGATCACCCACGAACGGTACGACGATTTCGGAGACAGTATCATCTTCGATAAGCCAGATACCGACGGTTTGACTCCCTCATTTCGATGCTCTTGTTATTACTTTACGTATTTTAGACACTGATGTAAGAAGAATAATGGTAGATGACGGAAGTGGCGCGTGTATTATCCACCTCAAGTCCTCGCACAAATGAGACTCGAGGACAAGATAATACCACATTACATAACATTAATAGGTTTTAACAATGCAGTTGAGCGAACCTCCTGGGAGATAACGCTGCCCGTTCTGGCCGGGGTCGTCACCTTAGAAACAACATTCCATGTCATAAACCAAGACACAACTTACAACGCCATCATAGGGCGGCCCTGGATGCACGCCACGAGGTCCATCCCATCGAGCCTCTACCAGGTAATCAAGTTCCCTACTCTATGGGGAATATTCAGTATCAGGGGAAAACAACGCACCGCCCCAAGAATGCTATCGCATAGCCCAGGATTGCACCTACACCTAACAGATGAAGGGAGTGGATGCAAAGGCATAACAATTACCCCAGTCGGGGATTGAACTCAACCTTCAATTAGATGTCATCAAGGACCCCGACATCGTCAAAGCAACCGAATCAATGATAGAAGATCTCAAAACCAGGTAAACTTCACAAGTTTTTAATTAGCAACGTTAATCTGTTTGCTTTCTCCCATGCAGATATGTCGGGCATCTCGAAAGACGTGGCCACACATAAGTTGAACATCGACCCACTTTATCTGCCAGTACAACAAATAAAAAGGAAAGTCAACGCTACAACCAACGAGGTCGTAAGTGACAAAGTGGAGAAGCTCCTCGCTAACGGTTCCATCCGAGAATCAAAATATCCCCAATAGGTCGCTAACGTGGTCATGGTAAAAAAGAAAAACAGAAAATGGTGGATGTGCGTAGATTTCACAGACCTAAACAAGACGTGCCCAAAAGACTCCAACCCGTTAACGCACATCGACCAGCTCATCGATGTCACAACATGACACGAGTTGCTAAGCTTCTTGGACGCCTACTCAGGCTACAACCAAATCCTCATGGAGGAAGAGGACTAAGAGAAAACTACCTTCATCATTCATCAGGGAACGTACTGCTACAGAGTCATGTCGTTTGGATTGAAGAATGCAGGGGTAATGTACCAAAAGTTGGTCACCAAGATGTTCAAAGATCAACTCGACAAAACAATGGAAGTCTACATCAATGACATGCTAGTTAAATCAAAAAGAAAAGAAGACCACATCGATCACCTGAAGGAAGCTTGCGGTATACTAAGGCGGTATGGCATGAAACTAAACCCCGAAAAATGTGCCTTCGACATAACCTCGGGCAAATTTCTCGGTTTCTTGGTATCACAAAGAGGTATCGAGGTCAATCCAGATCAAATCAAAGCCATTGAAAGGATACCTGAGGTGTTGACCAGCAAGAAACAAGTGCAAAAATTGACTGGCTGCATAGCCGCTCTATCAAGATTAATCTCGCGGTCATCCGACATATGCCACAAATTCTTCAACGTGCTGAAAAAAGATAATGGGCTCCAGTGGAATTCAGAATGCGCCGATGCCTTGAGAGAACTAAAGGTATACTTGTCCTTTAAGCATCGAGCTCCAATAGAATTTAGAAATCGCGATAAGCGCGGTGCTGGTCTGCAAGAACAAAGGGTTAAAGCTAGATCTCAAGTATGGAGCTCGATGAGTCGTCCTCAGATGCGACTCCCAACTCGTCATCAACCAAGTCACAATGACTTTCCAAATCAAAGAACAAAGGCTACAAAAGTACCAGACATAAATTCACAAACTACTGCCGGAATTCGATGAATGCCGACTCGACCAGATACCCCGAGCTCAAAATATCGAGGTGGACGGCCTCGCCAAACTAGAAGCCGCCACCAAAAATATCACTAAAGAAAATGTGGCCACTCTCCTCCACTCGTCAATAGACCAACTCGAGGTACATTCCGAAAATTTGACTTGGGATTGGCGCAACCGTATCATGACATATTTTCAGGAGGGAATACTCCCGCAAGAAAAAAAAAGTAAGCCAAAAAGCTTTGAATGCAGGCGGCCAGGTACAGCATCATAAATCACGACCTATAGAAGAGAACGTTCGGTGGCCCATTGGCAAAATGCCTAGGGCCGAGTCAGACCAGGGGTGTGCTCGAAGAAGTACACGAGGGACACAGTGGTTCCCATATAGGCAACCAAGCCCTCGTTAGATGCCTCATTCGAGCAGGATATTACTGGCCTACTATGAAAAAGGAAGCCGCAGATTATGTTAAGAGATGCGAGCAGTGCCAAAAGTACGCACCTATGATACATCTAGCGGGAGAACACCTCCACTCTGTTACCTCTCCATGGCCATTCATCAAATGGGAATGGACATTGTCGGACCCCTCCCAGCGGGGCAAGGTAAGACACGTTTCCTTTTAGTTTTAACTGATTACTTTTCCAAATGGGTCGAAGCAGGTGCATTTGCCCAAATAGGCGAACAAGAAGTCATCACATTCATATGGAGGAATATCATATGCCGCTTTGGCATCCCCAAAGAAATCAGATGTGATAATGGACCCCAGTTCACCGGTAAAAAGATGATTGAGTTCTTCGAAAAATGGCGCATCAAGAGAATACTCTCCATGCCATATCATCCCGCTGGCAATGGTCAAGCTGAATCCTCCAATAAAACCATATTGAATATCTTAAATAAAAAGCTTGAGGACGCCAAAGGGCTATGGTCGGAGTTGCTACCAGAGGTATTATGGGCTTACCGCACCACGCCAAAAACAAGCACCGGCGAAATGCCATATTCATTAGTCTACGGAACTGATGCCATGATACATGTTGAGGTCGGAGAACCTAGCCTGAGATACTCCAACGAAAGCGGACCAAACATCGACGAGAACAGAAGACAAGACCTCGAGGAGGCAGAAGAACGAAGAGACATGGCTTATGTAAGGATGGTAGCCAAAAAACAACAAGCGGAAAGATACTACAACAAGAAGGCCAAACTACGACCACTCAAAGTCGAAGACTATGTTCTCAAGGCCAAAACACAAGCAACTAAAGACCCAAATGAAGGCAAATTGGGAACCAATTGGGACGGGCCGTACAAAATCACAGCAGCAGCAAGCAAAGGGGCATTCCAACTAGAAACAATGGAAGGAAAACTACTACAAAACAACTGGAATGTCGCCACCTCAAATACTTCAACTTCTGAAAAGGGACGCCCCCCAAGTTGTACTCTTTTTCCCTCACCCGGGTTTTGTCCCAAATGGGTTTTCTTGGGGAGGTTTTTAACGAGGCAACAAAGGGGACGTCTGGAAGTTCAAAGTATAATTCATCGCCCCGCCTGCCGATGACCTCTCCAGAACGAACTACGAAGGTACTACATACATTGAAACTTCTCCAATAGATGTATGAAACTGGCATGTATAGTACTCCGGTAAATGAAATAAAGCAACATTTTGTATCAAGATATTCTCCAACGAAATGAAATAAAGCCAACATTTTATTCACAATCGTTTTCTTTTGCATCTAACATTCGACAAAGCTCGAATTACAACGGGTAACAATTCAACAACACGAAATAACACCCCTACGGCCAAGGGCTATCGCCAAAAGAAAACATTCAACCTCGCTCGAATTACAACGGGTAACATTTCAACAATACAAAATAACACCCCTATGGACGAGGGCCATCGCCAAAAGAAAATATTCGACCTCGCTCGAATTACAATGGGTAACATTTCGACAACACAAAATAACACCCCTACGGCCAAAGGCCATCGCCAAAAGAAAACATTCGACGTCGCTTGAATTACAATGGGTAACATTTCGACAACATGAAATATCACCTCTACGGCCAAGGGCCATCGCCAAAAGAAACCATTCGACCTCGCTCGAATTACAACATGTAGCATTTCGATAACACAAAATAACAACCCTACGGCCAAGGGCCATCGCCAAAAGAAAACATTCGACCTCGCTCGAATTACAACGGGTAACATTTCGACAACACGAAATAACACCCCTACGGACAAAAGGCCATCACCAAAAGAAAACATTCATCCTTGCTCGAATTACAATGGGCAACATTTCGATAACACGAAATAACACCCCTACGGCCAAAAGGCCATCGCTAAAAGAAGACATTCGACCTCGCTTGAATTACTTAAAACATTTGACCTCGCTAGAATTACTTAACACTCGACCTCGCCCGATTTACTAGGATCCACAATCGACTACGCCAGAGTGTTACACACAAGCGGTAGAATAGCCGGCCACCCCCTCACAGCAAATAAAAAAATAATTCGAAAGTACACAGCAAAGAGGTAATCATTCCATTACAATTGTTGTATTACAAAAACTTTTTACAAAGGGCTCGATGACGCCCTCACAAAAGTAACAAAACAAAACAAAATAAATACAACAGCCCTATGCCGCATCATCCCCCGTGACATACTCTTCGTTATACCAAGAATCAGAGACGAGCCTGTCTGCATCATCATCATCGACATCGTCCCCGTCGGGCATACTAGGATCATAACAGTAGGCTCACGGGTTGCACGTGCTTTAACATGAACACCCCCAAGTTCTGCCTCAGAAACCTTCACATTAACCTACAGGGACTTGTGCACATCAAGCTGAGCCTCGGCATTGACCCAGATCTCATACAACTCCCACGGCACGACGAGATCAGCTGAAGTATGAGACGTGGAGGGTTGTGACTGTCGTCGCGCCTCCTCCGTTTTCAAAGCAACAAATTGTTCGTTCGACATGGATAACTCCGCCTCTATATCTTAGGTTCATTCATCCAACCTCGCCACCTTGAGCATCGATGTCTCCACCTCATTATCACAGTCAGACCTACAAAATACGAAGGGCTTCTTCCAAAGCTGCTACCTCAGATACGGCAGTCACCTTGCCCTTTTCAGCATGAGCCAATTCATCGGCCTTAACGCTCATTTTGCCCCTCAGATTGATAACCTTCGCCTCTCTTCGACCAAGCTCGGCTGTCAGGGTGGCTGAACATCATCGTTCTCGGCCATCACCCCATTTCCCACCTCAAACTCATCCTTCTTGGCCTTAAGAGTCGCCTCAAGTTCACTACATCGACCAATGGCCTTCATCAGCTCTTCATCCCGCTCTTTTAGCTCGTCAACCTTCTGCGCCAACTCTTTCTCCTTCTACTTAAGCCCATCACGAAACAGCTGAAAATCGCGGTCATTAGTGAAGACATCTGCCAATGCATGATGCTTAGTGCGGTATTCTTTGTATTTAGAAGCAACCTTCCCAAAAACGGCTGTCCTTCTCCTATCTCGCCGGTCGTGCTCGATCTCCATAATGAGAGTCTGACATGTAGAGGAAATAATGCCAGCTTAAGTAAATTATGCATACAAAATAAATCCAAAAATAAAAAGAAGAGAGAAAACACTTACTCGCAAAGCCATGCCGGAAATACTCCGCGATAGCTCCGCATCACTCATCGCCTGAAGCGTCGTGCTCTCGGAAGCAGCGCACAAAGGGGCAAATGTCGACGCTTCCTGTTCGGAGTTTTCCAAAAGGTTGTAATCCACGGGAATGACCACGTGTCAGTTAGGACCCTCAGTCCTCACCTTCACGTGGGTATGTCGCTCCAAGAAAGCTCACACATCTTCGGGATCGATGTCTGAGCCTGAATCGTCGTCCTCCGCATGCACCGCTCTGTCTCCCCCGGTAGCAGACGACACACCACCTTCAATAGATCGTACAGGTCCTCCGCCTTGACATAACTCTTCGTCCCTAGGGGACCTCTCCGCAAAAATAGCGTCCGCCATAAAAACGGTCCCCGTGCCTGACCTAGGCGAAGATGCCACTCTCGAAGCAACAATTTTTTCTTTTCAAGATCAACGGAAACGACCTTCCCAAGTTCCACCATCCTCCTCTTTCTCGACGGAGATTCATCCCTATTGGAAGATTCATCTACGAGATGGTAGGTAGGCTGGGAAGAGATCTCATCCCGAGGAAGGTCCCTTGCTGGTTCAGTCTGAGTACGACCTCCGCGGACAGACTCAGCTAGAGTAAATTGCATCCCGCCCGATGCAATGGCCTGGCAAAATGCTGGGATTAGAGCCTTTTTCTTCAAAATCCATCAGCATGTCACCACAAAGAGGTCATGCCAATAAATGATAGCAAACAACCAAAGGTCGGAGAAAAGGTAGCATTTACCAAACGGAGCCTTCGGTCCGAAGCGCTTGAGAAAAATGGCCCAATCTCGAATCCCCACCATGTGAGGTAGCACGCGAGCTACCCAATCCTCAATACGGACAACGGGAAAAGGTGCATGCCTATCAGCTGCACGGAAAAATCATAGGTGAATAAAAATCAGAAAGAATGAAAGTAGATAACAAGCATACATCACCGACCCCTACAGTTATGATTCCACTGCTCCAAAAATCCAGCAGGGTCCGACACCAAGTGCTCCATTTTGATGAAAAAATACTTGTGCCAAAACTTTTGGCTCGCCCTGTCATCCGTCACAACCACCATCCCTCTGGTCCCGCGATGTCGCAAATGTATCATGGTACCCCTATGAAAGCTCGGGGAAAATAAATGCAAAAGGTGGTGAATGCCAACCTCACATCCGTCCAGTTCCGCATACTTCGTCATCATTAGAAATATTTTATATAAGTACGGAGACAGCTGCGCCAGGCAGACCTTGTAAAACCGACAGAACTCCTCCGACAACAAAAGAAGAATAAGCTTATGATCGATCACGAAAAGAAAACACATAAAAAGCACAGTATCCCGATTTGTGGACCTCCACGATGTCTCCCCCAGCCGGAACTATCTCAACGTGAGGAGGAATATGGTATGTAGACCGGAGTTCATTTATCTAAGAAGGTCCAGTTTCATAGATTATCGGAACGGGAGAAGGAGTAGGTTCCTTGTGGAAATCGTTCCTAGACATAGGGTTCTTGGGGAGTATTTGTTCTACGGTGGGGAAACTATCACCCTCCTCAGCTGCGATATCCTTGCCACCGGAAGGAGGGGACATTGATAACGGAGTGACGTCGGAAAATTCATCGTGTGCACGAGAGGTTTAGGGCATCTTGATAATAGAGGGTGTGCTAGTAGAACTTTAATGGAGGAATGATGACTTAATGGGAAGACGAAAAGCAGGAACAAAGCTAAGAATTGAGAAAGATGGTCAAGGGAGAATAATGTATCCATAAGGAAGAAAATGGCGAAAAACTTCTGAAAAAACGAAACCCTCACCTATTTATAGGGCTAAATGGCACGAGAATCGAAGCGGAAGACTGCTAATGGAGCTAAAACCAAAGCGACAAGCATTCAGACGCAGTCTCGGGAAGATGTAATAGGTTTTCAATATCTTTGCCGTATGTTTTGATGATCTAACAAACTTAATGTCAAGGACCAGATAGGGAACCTGACTCAATTGGACTGCACTGCATTTAACGGATTCCCGCTAAAGGTGAATTGCTATAGCTTCGGGAGCTAGGAAACTAAACAAGGACATGATACCCTTGTGGTTCTCTCATAGAAGTACAAAGACAATTACGCACAGCTGGAAATCAAGTGACTGCCTGCACTGTTTCTGCCGCACTGCACTGTTTCCAGCGCCCACTCATTCCTTGACCAACTAAAGTGCTCACATCATTTCAAGTGATGTGATCAAGGTGTACCAACAATGAGTTTATATTAAAAACATCACTTGAATGTTTCAGTTTCTTATTCAAGCATTTTGCAAAAATTGAGAAATCAAACCTCACAAGCTTGAAGAACAATGTTGAACGCAACTACGGACCAGTTCCTAAAGTTAGCATGTTGTTGTTCTTAGTTGAGTTATAACTTCGTGATTGTACTTATTGTATCTCTTAAATTGCTTAGCTAGAACCGTTGATTAGGAATTCTTTTGTAAAATCTGTAAACTCCTTGAGTTTATGTTGTGACTAGGATTAGTCATAAGCAAAAGCTTTTGTAACTGTAGAGCGACAAAGTGGCTTGTGGTGAGAGCATCACAAGTTAGTAAAAGTCTTTGTGACTAGGGATTCACAAAGTGGCTTGTGGTAAGAGTACCATAAGTTAGTTGAGTTAAATTCTTTGTAATGGAGTCATTACAAAGTGCCTTGTAATAGGTTTTTACAAGTTAGTGAAGTTGAAAGCCTACTGGTGTAGGTCATGGTTTTTGGTCCCCTTATGCGGTATTTTTCCACGTAAAAATCCCGTGTTTAATTTACTTACACTTTATTAGCATTCTCAGCAGAATCTCGTAGAGGACCAGGTACTCTACTGTTTGGTAGACTCATACAAGCTAACAAGATAAGTAATGATGATGCGCGTGGGAGTGACGTCACATCTTGATAACCACATCAATCAGGATTCCGCAGGAGGCATCGCTCTCTCGATCTTGGTCAACCCGATGTAATTTAATGGCCAAATTCTCCCATAACGAAAACGAACGATGTCCGCTTATCAAGGACGCGTAGCGCTGCGACCTCAACAAATGGAGGGACTAACTGTATACGTCCAAATTTGGCAACCAAGGTAACGGATAAGCAAGACATAGGATGGGGTCGACCATGACACAGTGACTTATGGTCGTAGTGATGGTCCTTATTGTAACACCCCGTAAAAATTCAGCTTATGTATAAATGAGTTAAAGGAGTAGTAAGGATATATTTTGAACATGTGAAGTCCCATCGGGATGATTATGGGTGAAAAGAGTTGTTTCAAAATCAAGATGGAAAGTGAGGTGCATAATATTTGGCAAAATCGACTAAGTTTGCAGAAGGTCTTTCTTCCAGTAGGTTTTAGTGATAATATTTAAGGAATACAGAAAAACTCAAAGCATGAAAGTTGTAGTTCTTTGAAATATCTTTCCAATGATATATTATGGAGCCCAAACGGAGCTCCGTGCAAAAGGTTATGCTCGTTTTACAGAATGGTATGCAACCACCGCGATCCTGCCGCGTTTTACCGCGACCGCGGTTGCGAGGAGTGTTCTAGCGATTTACCGCAGTCGGGACCATGGCCGCGCCAACCGGGACGCAGTGGAAAACTTGGGAAGTCATTTTTTAGCCCTATTTCGTCCCCCACAGCCACAAAACATAAAAACTTGCTCTACAAAGGAAAACTCTCAAAAACCTAACTCCGCAAGGGTCCCTCCACCATCCAAGGTAAGTTCTAATGGTGATTCTAAGTTAATTTTAATTTCCCAATATCCTGTTAACATGGGTCCCTCCATATCATTAGATATTCGATTTGGGACGCTATTGTTGAGAGGAGAAACCTAGAACTCGAATTCAAGAAGATTGAACCTCAAAAAGGTAATATCTTCACCATCTAGTTGATTCTATCATTGAATAATGATTATAGACTTTACTTCATGAGATATGAGTTGATGGGTTTGATAGAAAAGCATGAACGGTGATAGGTTTGGGTTGTTGATAGGTTATTATTGGTTATGGGTGTTGATTACCTTATAGGTGATAAAGAATAATATTGTTTATAACCATTTGAGACTTTAGAATTTATCTAAGAGCAAGAGAATGGGTTATTGGGTGTAGAAACACCATTAATAAGGGCTATGAAGCTTTATGCCACCGAGTGTTTGATAAAATGCCTAAGTGATTAAAACATGACTATTGTTGCTAATTTGGAATCCCTTTGACTTGTATTGATATAGATTAAAGTTTAAAGGGTTGGCGAATGTTGTATTATGCTCAAGAGCAGGAAGTTAAGGTATGTGAGGCGAACTCTCTATGTTTGGAAATTTTAATGATTCTCCCTACACTACGTTTCTTTTACGACGTATCAATTGTCTCAGAAATATAGTTAAGCCTAGTTCCTTGAATAGTTGTAGGACTTCTATTCTCTAGCTTCATAACTCGTTCATGACTTTCATTCTGAACGTTGTGAGCTCAGTTCGTATTTAATATAGACTTGGGTTTGATGT